CTGAATGAGAAAGATTGAAGGGTTATTGATGCATTTGAGTTGTGGTGTTGGCGAAGGGCATTCAAAGTATCGTGGATTGCCCAAATACCAACACATCTGTGTTGGAAGAAGTACAGCCAAAATGCTACTTAGAGGCAAGGATGGTGAGACTTCTTCTCTCATGTATACTTTGGACCTATGCTGAGGGGAGGTCAATTCCTGGAGCAGGATATCATGCTGGGTAGAGCAGTGGGAGTGCAAAAAAAGAGGAAGACCTTGGACAGAATGGATTGACACGGTAGCTGCAAGGATGGGCACAAATAAGGGAACAAATTATGAGGATGGCAGAGAACCAGGCAGTGTTTCATTCTATTGCACAAAGGGTCACTGTCAGAAATGACCTGACAGTCCCTAACACCACCACCACCTTGATGACGTGTCCCACCTCAGTGTACTGTATACAATCGAGTATAAGCCACATTTTTTTCAGCACACGTTTAATGCTGAAAAGCCCCCCAGTTTTTTGTGGTAAAATTAGGTGCCCTGACTTATACTCTAGTAGATACGGTAGTTATTATTTAACTTCAACTTCTGCTGCCAACGGAACTCACAATTCTACAACATGCTGGGTCTTCTCCTCAATACTACCCTCCCTCATCCACTTACTTAAATGCTAAATGATTTTATCATGTTTCCCAATAAAATTTTTTCACTAACTCCTTGCCGGATCCCTTGCAAACATTACTAGTACTTACACATCATTCATCCATTACCCAATATGTTAAAGAAACCATGATAGGAAAATAAAGGCTCTCATTGTTAAAATGTCATTCATTTTGAAAACTGACCATACAGCTTTCTGTATTCACTAAAGATGTACTCAATTAACAAACAAGTCTATAGGATGAAGATTCATCTAAATCATGGTAACAGAATAAAGGAAGTAAGATTTCGCCTTATATGCATCAACATTTAAATCTTATTATACCAGTTATAAAGCGTGCATATCACATATCTATAATCCTTCATGAGCACAAATTCAGCTCGCCACAAGCCTCGCCAGTTATATTAACTAAGTTTTTATTTCGTTTAGTTCCTGTACCCAAAAGAAACTGTTCTCATTCTAGGGGAAATGCCTGTTGCATTAGAAGATGAAGACAACATCTCGGGAAATCCTTTACTTGTGGTTTCTCATGGTAGACGACTGGAACTAGGTATAGTATGATGGGACAAAAATATAACTGCCCTGGATATATACATCTAATCTACTTCCAAACTGGAAAGCAAGGTGGCTTTTAAGTTTGAGAAAAAGGGTGATGGAGGGCTGCTATGAGATGGAATAGACTCAATGCAAAGAGTTTTGGTGTCCTGGTAGAAAAATTTGGATTAATCTGTGCCCGCCCCCCCCCCCCCAGTCCCCCATATACACACACCTCTGCCTTGACTAACATACTGAAAGGGGGGTGTGATTTATTACACAAATACTATAAGTTACTTAGAAATATTGGTCCTCTACATTCCAGACTTTATTCTTTTTAGGAAATCAAGTGGCTTACATTTACACACTGCTCTTGCTAGCTGCCAGCAGCCTACACACAATAAAACAGAACGCTGCAAACTCCTATCCCATCCTCATTGGGGGCTGTGGGCTTGACGCCTGTGAACCACTGGGTTTTTATGGGCGAATTTTTCAGTTGACCAGTAGGCCTTTCTTTCTAGTCCAGCTCAGTCTGGAAGCTCTGCTGAAATCACTTCAGAGCCACAGCAACACTAGCCACTGTTAGCAGGCAGGTGGGTGGGTGGTAGCTGTCCATGAGGTGCCGGGAACCACACTCAGGTTTCCTGCAGGGTGGCAACAGATCTACCTCTGAACGGCCATTGCCTCAGGAATGCCAGCACTGAACAACTGGGCTCTGTTTCCTGTTTCTTTTGTCGAAGAAGAAACATGTATTTGACTTGAGTTGTTCTGGCCTTTGGAAACATTCTTCTATCAGCAAACATTGCAGGAGGATGTATTCAACTTTCACTAGATATTATATATATATTATAATTGAGAGAAGTCATACAGAAGCTACCTACATATGAATCACTAAAAGCACATTATTCATCATGAAACTAACAATACTGAACACATTCCAGTTCTGTATTTTCCCCTAGAGCGAAAGCTACGATTTGTTGTCCCATCTCCTATGGAGAAAACTGCTTTCCTCGATTATCTTCCACCCACTTATGTACTGTGTACAATGCATGTAACCCATGTTATGTCTCCATCCCTCTCCACCCTACTCAGGTAGCTCTACAGCGATGGATCCTTCCAGTGATTCAACTTTCATCCCAGCTGTTGCAAACGAAGGAGGAAAGCACTGGACTATGCCCGAAGTCAAGGCTCTAATAGGCATCTGGTCTGATGAGACCATCCAACAACAGTTAGAGGGAACTGTCCGAAATAAAAGGATATTTGAAGAAATTGCTGCCAAGCTTCAGAAATTGGGAGTTGAGAGAGACTGGAAGCAGTGCAGAACAAAGTACAAGAACCTAAAACACGAATACAAGATTCTAAGAATGGCCCAAGACCTAGGCATGGCCAAGAGCATGAAATTTTTTACTCAGTTGGATGCTATTCTGCGATACAATACAAAAGAAAAATCACCAGAACAGGAACTCCAAAACAGAGACCACGTCCCAGAATGTGCCAGTGTGAAAATGGAAGAAGCTTACACAGGTAGGAAGCATCCCGTTACAGTACAGAGAAATACTCATTAGCACACCACAATGAACACACTGCGTCTAGGTTAAGCAGGTGTCACCAGATGCTGTTCAACAAGCTGAATCCTGACTTAACAATCAGACAAGCTTCTCCAGCATGAGAGAATAATAGTTATACTAAGTGAGAAAAGAAAGTTGGGATTCCAGAATAATGCTTACAAAAATAAATCAGTGTTAACATGGCAAATATGCAATCCCTGGTGGGAGAAGCTAAAGCAAGTTTTCTCATCCATGGTGGTAGAGCTGTGAGTGAAGATGGTGCAGCCCTGGGAAGAAGTTAGCAAGTACAAAGATTCATGGGCATGTTTTAGAAGCAGCAAATTCTTCTGGGCCACCAAAATACCGTTCTTCAAAGCACATCTAACCCAACAGACACACACATACACAGAGATAGAGGGAGGAGCCCTGGTGGTGTAGTAGTTACACGTTGGGCTGCTAATCTCAAGGTCAGCCGTTTGAAACCTCTACTCCCAGAAAGAGTTCGTCTTGAAAACCTACAGGGATAGATCTACGCAGTCCTGTAGGGTCACTGAGTAGTAATTGACCCGATGGTGGTAAGTTCTGGAACTGAGACACATGTGAAGACATACAGTATGTAATCAAAGGCATCGGTTCTAGGTCAGAGTTAGAAAGTCCAAGTTCTCGTTCAAGTCTCAATGCAGTCTTGAGCCAAGCAACTTCTAAAATGAGCTCTGTGATAGGAGGTGAGGTGTGTGCACAAAAGGCTTCTCGAATTTAATAGCTGGCTTAAATTATACTAACTCTAAAAATACAAGTGTGTGTGTATGGGTGTGAACGTGTCTGTCTGTCTGGAGCAGCAGAGAGGAGAGGGGATGTGAATGATAAGAGGTAAGGCTGAGAAAGTGTTAGAAGCTCCAAAATGTTTACACTCATGGGCAAGAGAAGAAACTGATATTCAATTACTGAAATTAAAATGTAAACAGATGGGAGAGGAAGCAATCCAATAGCAGAGGCACGATTACATTCTTTTAGTAATTGCTGGACAGCTCAGTTTGGCAATGTGTCAGAGAACCGACACATTATATCTATAGTGACCATAAGACTTATTACTGCCATCGAATCGATGTCAACTCACAGTGGCCCGATAAGACAAGGTAGACCCGTCCCTCTGTTTTTGAGACTATCTCTTTATGGGAGTAGAACGTCATCCCATCCTTCTCCCACCAACCAGCCTGGTGGTTTCGAACTGACAACCATGCAAATTGCAGCCCAACACGTAACCATTACACTACCAGTTATGGGTAGGGGGATTCAAATGATTAAAAAACAAACAAACAAAAAACAATCTTAGTACTTAACTCCAGGTTCACTCTAAAACAGAGAATAATGCATTCAAGAGTTTAAACTTCTGAAAAATTTATTTTAAAAAACCCACTAGATAATTCCATTATGTTCACACAGTTCTTGATGGAGATGCAACAGCAAATGACTCAGTCAGTCTTATGTCAGAAGAACTAGGAGATACGGATTAAAAAACAAAGCCCTGACAAAGGTGAAACCATCTTGTGTTGTTTATGTGTGTGTGATATCACACTAAGAACGAGGATGTCACACTTAATGCTAGCCCCAATCTAAGAATAATTCGTTCCTATGTTCTTCATGAAGAGATCCCCAAAGGCATGGGAGCTATAGCAAAGAATGGTGAAGAAACCAGGTGGTGCTTGGCTATCAGAAAAAAAAGAGAGGCTGGGGTCTTAAAGACTTGTCTCCAAAAAAGCAGCCATTTAAGTGAAACATCAAGAGAACTAAGTCCACATAGACTAAGTCCACCAGCCCGTGTGCTTAAAGGATTACAGAATGAATGGTATCAGAGCGTAACTTTGAACACCCACTTTGCAGAAGGCTGTGGATGACAGAAGCCCCAAATCTATTTACAGGGTCTACACATGGATTAAGCCTCTGGTGAATCCTCTCTGACCACAGTTGAGGGGCGTGAATAACCTTTCTAGTCAACTCTCTGACTTTCTTCCATTTGGTTTGGCTACTTCACATGGTTTGACTTTGTCTCATGTACTTTGGCCATGTTATCATGAGAGACCAGTCCGTGGAAAAGAATATCATGCTGATTGATGTGGAGAGCATTGATGGACTGCAGACAAACAGTGGCTGCAACTATCGTGAGGATGGTGCAGGACCCGGCAGTGTTTCCTCCTTATGTTGTGCTTAGGATTACTGAGTCAGAACTTACTTGCAGGCACCTAACAACATGCTGCAGACCATAGTAAAGTTTTACCGTCTGAAGTTATCTAAGACAAGTACGGTCTCGTATGGTCATCTTTCAGTCACCACTCCCTTTTTTTACCCAGGCTCTTCCTCAACACAATTTTCGAAGAAGCTGTAATACTGCTTGAGGCACACACTATGCAAAATCAATATTCAAATTCATAATGTATTTTTGAATTACAACACAGTTTGTGTTCCTGTCTAACTTTACACAGGCATTGCTGCATTACCTCTTCTCTTCAATAGGAACCCTGACATCTCAGGGGGTTATAGGAGTATAAAGTGGGACTGCCCCACAGTTAAAAACAGACTTATAAATACCCTATACTGTAAATATCTACAAGCACCTTGTACCTATATTGGTACACTACGGAGGCCTTGTTGCATAGTGGGGTTATGGGTTGGACTGCTAACTGCAAAATCAGCAGTTAGAATCCACCAGCTGTTCAGTGGGAGAAAGATGAGGCTTTCTACTCCCATAACGGTCACAGTCTTGGAAAGTCACAGGGGCCGTTCAAATCTGCCCATCAGGGGAGCTGTTAAGTCGGAATTGACTCGATGGCAATGAGGTTCTTGTTGTTGTTTTTGAGCTATTTACTAGGCTAAGTAAGCACCCTCACTTCCTTACAATGCTTATCACTTGACTGGTGAAAGTCTCAACTACAACAGACATTCGTTAATGTTTCCATTTGCTAAGACCACTGTCTCACAGTCATTTGTTTTTATTATATACGACAGTAAAGATCACTCAGCTGCCACGAGGACCAAGTGAGAACACATACATTAAAAACACTTTGCCAGCATTGGCTTCCCAGAGTCTGAAAGAGGTGAACTCTATGAGGCCCCTTTAAAATTTGATTAGCGGTGGCGACTTTGCTTGGCTTCAAGTACATATACCCTGTTGATGCTGGAATCTGGCCCTACTACTTTTTCAGCGTAACATTCAATTGTAAAAGTAAACTAGAATGTTATATACAACAAACTGAAATTGCAATTGTTTGTTTTCTGGCAGAAGACACCTTAAATACTGCTCTTGAAGGTGTGTGTGGCCCATGAGCAGCACAAACTGAGTCAGGTTCAGGGTCCACATCATTACCCTCTAACAGTGGTTCTCAGCCTTCTAATGCTGTGACCCTTTAATACAGTTCCTCATGTTGAGGTGGCCCCCCAACCATAAAACTATTTTCGTAGTTACTTCATAACTATTTGTTTTGCTACTGTTATGAATCGGGTGACGCCTGTGAAAGGGTCATTCAACCCCCAAAGGGGTCGTGACCCACAGGTTGAGAATCGCTGCCCTATAATGTCACTTTGAGATATGAAGTCTATGTGTCCTTAGTAGGAAAAAAGACTACGCGGGCAAGAAAATATCTAGTTCTATTTCTTATTCAAACAAATCAGCACACAGTGAGATGCTCCATATTCGTAAAAACTAGATGAAGGCAGCTGAATTATTCACATTTAATAATATAAATCTTAATGTATTTTAAACAATGTATCTTAAGTTAACATTTAAATATGGATGCATAAAATTCTTGATCCTTATATTGAAATCATTAATACAATTACTAGTGCTGTAGGCTATGCAGGAGTTAAGTGGGATAACATTCAAACCACAAGATGTTTAACCAATTGTAAATCACTGCTGATGTACTGGTGTGTTCTCTTGCTTAGGGATCGCCCCCGTGAACAACCCTGAAGCAGGAAAGCACTGGTGCGACAGGGAGGTCAGAGCCCTGATCCACATTTGGTCTGACGAGAAAATCCAGCAAATGCTGGAAGAGGCCACAAGGAACAAAGAAATATTTGAAGAAATCGCCAGAAGACTGACGCGATTTGGAATAGACAGAGACTGGAAACAATGCTGTAGCAAATATAAAAATCTAAAATGTGAACACCAGGTTTTACAAAAGAAAAATGTCAGCCCTCAGAGAAGAATGAGATTTTATGAAGAAGTTGACTGCATTCTGAGACAACCAGCTCTCAGAACTGCCACATGGAAACAAGGTAACCTTGGAATTGAGTTTCTTTCCTAAAAATTCTATAGTTTCCCCTTTGCAACACCTCAGAAGTAAAATCCCTAACACTATTTTTCAATAATTCAAATGACCGCAGAGACAGTAAAACATATTAGTTGCACGATTGCTTACATGTTCTTTTCTTTAGTACACCCGACTGCCTAGAGGTGAATACATTTAAAATGACATTGTGTAATGGTTCTTTTCTCGTGCCTTTTGCTTGTTCTAAGAATTATTAGAAGGTCATGCCAAATCCCCTGGAACTTTGAGCATCAAGAGAAAAGCACATCAAGACGGTAAGAGCCGGAGAAATGTCATTTTTCCACATTGAGAAAACTTGTTGCTTTTTCCTGAGAACGCCAATGCTTACTCCTGTCTTCGACAAATTAGACTAAATTTATTGTTTGTGAACTGAACTGAGAGCACAGAATGATGAGAAATGGTTTATCTCATTAAGTTAGTGAAAGTAACTATCAACAAACTTTCCCAGAGTGGGAAATTAATTTCTGCATTACTGTGCCTTTAATGTACCTTCATACTTTACAGGAGCCCTGGTGGCGTAATGGCTATGCACTGGGCTGTGATCCTCAAGGTCAGCAGTTTAAAACCACCAGCTGCTCCATAGGAGAGAAATTGTACATCCTTAAGGGAGCTAACAGTTTCAACTTTCTCCCTAGGAGCAGACAGTGGCTTTGCATTGCCCCATTTGTGATTAGTTCAACGCTTACCTGGCAGTCACCAAATCCTCACCTCTCCCTGCCATCGAGGTCGACTCTGGACAGTGTAGAACTGCTCATGTGGGTTTCTGAGACTGTAACTCTTTATGGGAATAGAAAGTCTGCCTTTCTCTCACAGAGCGGTTGGTGGTTTTGAACTGATGACTTTGGAGTTCACAGCCCAACGCAAAACCACTATGCCACCAGGAAGCCATGCATGGTACTACTGCGTTCATTCAGGTTGCAGTCTCCCCTAAAAGTTTGGGCTTGAATCCTACTCCTGACATGGCACGAATTATTAAGTTCTCAATTTCAGTTTTTCCAAAGATATTTAGGAATGGGTATAACATAGTAAATTTGTAAAAAAAACAAACAAACCTAGAAGTCACCAAAGTTTCTGAGGTTGGCGAGTCCAAACAGACCCATCAAAGATCAGAAAGGGCAGTA